CCAGGGTCACAGGGCCAGGCCCGCTGTCACCTGTGTCGCCTCCAGGCCTCTCCCTGCCCATGTCTCCCCACGCTTCCTCAGGTCCCCAAAGCAGCGTGGCCACACATTTGATGGCCTCAGGGCACCAAAGTGGAAGCACTCAGATGTCCTGAGGCTTGGGCCAGACGGAGGTGTACCTGTTACACCACACTTCATGCGCGGGCTCCTCTCAGTGCCTGCCTCACTCTGTCTCGACAGCACCCCCATTGACACTGCCTCCCCCATCCGCCCAAAGTTCACCCACCCACCCTGTCCTGCCGGCCACCACCTTGTTCCTGGCCACGTCCTCATTTTGGCTGTGGCCATCTGCTTGCAGTCTCTCCCTGTAAGACCTCAGTCAGACCGGGTGCCAGCCTGCTCTGAGCTCTCCAGAGTGCAGGTGGAGGCCATGGTCTACACTGACCCTCGGGCCTGTCACCGGGAGAGGGTCATGACTTCAAGTTGTCAGGTTCTTGGCGTTTTGAACAAAGAATTGGACAAAACGCCCAGCAAAGCAAGGACAGAATGAAGCAACAAAAGAACGAAAGCAGGGGTTTATTGAATGGGAATTGACTCCACAGTGTGGGGATGGCCAAGGGCCGCAGCTCAAGGGCTGGGACACGGACCTTCTTGGGTGCAGACACCCCTACAGGTTTCCCACCGGCCACTTCACAGTGCTGCAGAAAAGCAAGCAGTCAGAGGTAGGGTGAAGTGACCAAGTTATACTTCTATGCAAACAGAGACTCCTCCGGGATCAGTCTGATTCGTGTGGACTGTGGCCATTCAGAGGCTGGAGTGAAGTTACCAAGCTGCAAACCTGCAGTCAGTCAGATTTGTTGCAGACAGCCAGTTCCCATCTGCCACGGTGGGTGGAGGGGGGTGCAAAGGGAGTAGCCTCTGGTCCTTTTGTTACTTAGGAGTGGAAAGTTAGGGTTTCCCTTCAATTCAGTTCTAGAAAGTCGGTGTGGAACAGCCTTAGTTTCCCTGCCTCCAGACCCTAATCTCCCGCCTCAGGCCCACAGGTGCCGCCCCACCCCCAGCCGCACTGTCCCCTTGTCCCCTTCTTGCTCTTCCTCAGAAGGCCAAAAGTTCCTATCTGGGCCTGCTTCCTGGGCAGGGACATGGGGACTGGCTCTGCTCAGCTCATGGCTGCACCCCCAAGGCCCAGAAGGTGTTTGAGCCCAGGAGCACCAATGCTACAGAAGCTTAGCAAACGTGGAAGTGGACTCCTCACTGGGCAGTGCCCCTGCCTCTCCAGTGCCTATTCTGGAACAATTTATTTTTCTATTAAGGGCCAGTTTCTATGTAATTACTTGGCTATGCCTTTCGTCCATTGCTTCAGTTAAGGCAGTGAGCTCAGGCCAGGCATGGTGTTAATCCTAACACTGTAGCCCTAGCACTATGTGAGGCCGAGGTGGGCGGATTACTTGAGGTCAGGAGTTCAAAACCAGCCTGGCCAACATGGTGACACTTCATCTCTACTAACAATACAAAAAAATTAGCCGGGTGTGGTAGTGGATACCTTAATCCCAGCTCGAGAGGCTGAGACAGGAGAATCGCTTGAGCCTGGGAGGCAGAGGTTGCAGTGAGCCAAGATCCGTGTCACTGCACTCCAGCCTGGGCGACAGAGCGAGACTGTCTCAAAAACAAAACCAAACAAAAGAGTTTATAATTTGCCAAAATTAACTTTTGTATCATCTAAAGCTTTCTTCTGCTTAGATATGGCCTCATTAAAAGATGCAGATGCTGTTGTGATCAGCATGAAGTTTCCCTGCGGGGCTGTGGTCAGTGTGGACGTCAGCCAGCACTGTACGGACAGCTGTGACCAGAGACTGGAGGTGACCTCCCTGCCCTTTTCCACCCCTCACCAGTCCACTGTGAAAAGCCGGGTTGATTCTGCAGGTTAAATAGAGGCCATGACCCGCCACCCTCAGCCGGAGCATCTGTGGGCACCTATGCATAGTCAGTGCTCAGTAAATATTTGTTTGAATTTTCTGGTGGGAGCCTCGTCTTCCAGGTTTGGGTGGGAGCTCCTTCTCTGGCTTCTGTGCCTCCGAGAGCTGATTTGTGGCGGTTGCTTTCCTTTACGTTGGCTGTTGTTCCACAGATGCTTCTGTGGCCGTCACACAGAAAGCCGGTGTTGGTCACGGTGTGCCATGGGAAGCGATAAAGCTGGTCCTGGAAAGCCCACGCCATGAGTCACCCACCCACACGCCCCCATCCCCATCACAAAACCCCCTAGTGGTGCTGAGTCATCACTGCGAGGAGGCCCCTGCCCCTCCCTACCTCCCACGCTCAGCCTGGTTAACGCCTGTTTTACCATGGCTCCCAGGTTCGTGGCTCCCAAGGCATGCTGCAGATGGAGAATCAGGATCCCTTGGGCATCAGCGGGCGGGGCACATCCCTGTCCATCTGCTTGCAAAGCCAGGCTAGCTGCTACCAGGACTCGCACTGAGAGCTCTTCAGACACTTTGTCAGAACGCTTAAAGGTGGGTGAAGTTCTCAGGAGGACACTGGGATGTTCTGATGGTCAGAACAGGCGGCAGTGAGTGCAGACCATGTGCCAATTTCAGGTGGAAAACTGCATTCCAGACACCAGGTTCAGATTTGCAATTGTCCATCCCAGTGATCATTTGCGTTATGCGTACTTGAGGGAGGTTCTGAGATGCCCCTTTGGGGTTCTGTGCATGTACCCTGTTCCCTGATGTCCTAAGAAGTGTTCTTGACTCTGAGATTTATAAAATGACAGTGACTCCTGAACCTCCTGAGCTCTGGTGAATATCTCGTGTCCTGGAAGACGGGACATCTTCTACCCTCTGTCCGTTCTGGGGGTGACTGGGAACAGGGAGGCTGAGCAGAATTCCTGGGCCTGGGTCGGGCTTGTTCAAGAGGGGTGGGTGGGCCTCCCTAGGGCCGGTGTCTCTCCCAGAGGCCAGTGGCCCCTGCCCGTTCCCCAGCAAGAGGAAGACTGGCTCCCATGTGTTGGCTTCTGTCCTGAATCTGTGCAAGTGTGCCTCATGTGCAGGGAAAGAACCTCCTGAAATCACCAAAGAGCAGTCCCTCAGGGCCTTCCGGGTGGCTGCGGAGCAGTCGTGGTGGAACCGGCCAGCTGTGGACCTGCCCTGCGAATTGGCAGAGGCCTCCGAGATGAAGACAGAAGCCCCGTGGGGCTCCAAGGCTGGAGCCCAGACCCTGCTCCTATCCACTTGCCTGTTTCACTTCTCGCTGTTACTAAGAGAGGGAGATGGAACCTTCCAGGGACCTTGTCCTTACTGGAAACTCAGAAGGAGAATGCATTGGGAAACCATGTCTGTTTCATTGCTGGTGCAGCCAGGCTTTTCAAGATGTGACTTCACACTGGGGGACATGAGTGGGACTTGCTTGCCCGTTTTGTGTGTGTGCAGGCCCGGTAAAAGGATGCTTTTCGGGTCAGGGTTCCCTGGGCGGGGCCTCGGAGTCTCTGGTTGGCGCTCTCAGGAAGAGGGCAGGTCGGGGATTGGACGGGGTCCATGGACCCGGAAACCTGCTGGTTCAGCTTTTCTGTGGCAAACAGGGCCAAGGGCCGGTGAAGCTGTAAAGACTAAATGTTGTGTGCGTGAAGCAGACGGCAGGTCTCCTTAGGCCTTTTCTGGGGTAATCACACCAGTATTTAAAGAAGAGTTTTCTTGAAGAATCTGATTTTTGCCGAGTAATGACACAGCACCATTCCTGAGAAGCAGGAACTATCCACGTGTGGGATGCAAACCTGTCTTCCGTTCCTGGTGCCTGAGTCTGGGTGTGCAATGGATGGTGGCTGATTTCCACGCAAAAGGCCGTGGAGGCCTTTTGGCAACAGGCCTGCTCCTTTCCTGTTTGCAGCCGGGTGGTGGAGACCTTCCTTCGAAAGGCAGTGCCTTGCGGAGCAGACCTGCCCCGAGTCCAGCTTAGCCTTCCAAAACGATGCGTGGAGCCTACTGCAGGTGTTTTTATATATTTGAAAATAATGGCCTGTATTTCTCACGCTGTACTTAAAAAAAAAATAACTTTTTAAACAAAGGGATTCAATTCAGCCTTGTGTTGAAAGCACTCATTTCTGTGTTCATTCCTGAAAGGGCCTTGTGGAGCCCCCGTTTCTCCTTTCCACGCGGCAGCCTCTTGCCGAGGAAACATCCCAAGTCCCCCCCCCTTCCTGAGTTTGAGGCCTCAGCACATTCGTGATCCAGAGTTCTGTAGCTGGGGTGGTGGGGGGGCACGCTGCCTCCCAGTCGCCCTCTCTGGACGTGGGGACAGGCAGGAGCCAGCGAAAGTGGTGAGCAGGCTGTGGTGTGCCGGCGTGCATGCCAGCTAGGGAGGTGGGGCCGGGCCAGCGCGGTGCCTCACCTGCGCGCCCCTCACCGGTGGGGGACCTGGCGCCTCTCTCTCTCCCCTTGGTTCTGTCTTTCTTTCAGGCCAACTTTTAAAAAGACTGAGGCCTCCCTCGAGGTTGAACAGGTTTCTAGAGCCTTATTTTTGCCGTGGCAGGTCCCTAGTCCCTTGTTCAAGAAACGAAGGAACCTGAGAACCAAGAGAACTGAAATGAAGCCGTTTGGCTGAAGCCTGGCTTGAGCCCACACGAGGCTCCAGCTGCCTTTTGTTTTCTTTGGTTTTGCTGAGAAATGAAAGTGCGTTCTGTGAAGGTGTTTGCCACACCCTGAGACCCCGTGTGGCCTTTCTAAAGTCCAGAAAGCCTGGGCCCCACAGGGCTTGATGAGGGGTCCTGGGCCTGCCGCCTGCGCTTCAGCAGACCTGAGAGGCACGGTCAGTCCCTTGAGCCACCTGGCTTGGCCCGCAGGTCCTCCGAGGCACAGGGCAGAGGGACCCCCAGGGACCCATCAGACTCGCCGACGACAGAGACGCTCAGGTGGGTCCCAGGGCCACCGTGGAGGCCGCAGGCTTCCTGTGTGAGGACCCGCCCTGTGTGTGTCTGAGCCCCTTGGAGATCGAGGCTTAGTCATGAGAGCCGGTCATTGGAACAGACGCTTTATTATGTTACAAAAACAAAAATCCCCACTGAAACACAGCTAAAAAAATAACACGTTTTCCCAAGATAACATTACCAAAAGCAGGGGTTGTGTTACTGGAGGGAGTCCGTTAATACTGCTCGGAGAAGCACCGTCCTACAGGGAAAGCACAGGTAGGGTTTCGTCTTCACCTGAAAGCGTGAAAGTGCTTCAACTGGTAACAGAGGAGTGGATGTTTGTGTGTCGGAGACACTGACTGTTCCAAGCGACAAGTGGCTCTGTGCCCGGATCCCGCCAGCCGGGCCCCTGGGTACAGCGAGGGCCTCCTGCAGCCAGGCTGATGGGAACGCTGCGGGGATGGGGCAGAGTCGCTGCTTCTCACCAAACCAACCTGGGCGGACGTGAGCGGACCTGCCTGGTCGGCTCCTGCCCGGCCTCTCTGAGCAGACTCAGGACCACCACCCGTCCCCTGGCTCCAGGAGTGCCAGCGGCCTCCCTCCCGCCCCTGCCCTGCTGGGAAAACTGTCCACCTTCCACATGTATTTGTTGATTTCTTTAGTTTTATAAAACACGTTGCTTAAAGGGCCTTGCTCCTGGCAGTTCGCATTTTCTCCCGACCGTGGTGAAGTCTTGACTCTGTTTGCTCCCACAGCTGCTTCTCCAGTGCAAGGAGGTCAGCGTGGGCTCCCTGGACAGGGGCAGCTGGGCCATCTGGCTGCTCCGTGCTCCGGCCAGCTTCCTTGGACGTCTGGCTGGGCTTCCAGTGATAGCTGCCCCTGGGGCCTCTCCCTGCTCTGTGCCATCCCCCCAGCCCTTCCCAGGAGCACACTACAGGAGCTCTTGGGACAGCCCCACTGGACTCGGTGGACAGGGAACATGCCTAAGAAACAAATCAACAAGGCCCTGGAATTGAAGCGTGTCTGTGCTGGGCTCGGGCACCCCGGATGTCAGGATGGCCTCCGCCTCTCCTGAAGTGGAGCACGGGGCGGAGTGGGGGCTCCAGCATGTGGCCTCGGGCAGCAACTGCCCAACCCCAGCCCAGCTCCCAAGAGATGAGTGTGATGCCTGGGGCTGGGACTCAGCCTTTCTGGCCTCAGTTTCCTCATCTACAAAATGGCAGTAAGAGGGGGAGCTCAGGTGACAAGCAGCCAGGGTAGCCGCGCCCCCCTGGGAAAGCCCTGAGCCCGCTGCTGCTGCTGACTCGTGTCCTGGGTGTGGCACTTTTCTAGGGAGATGGAGCCCTAGAGGCTGGGTGGCCAGAGCCTGCCCTTCGGCGGAAGGAGCTGGATGGGAGGACCAGGCTCCCGCCTTGGCTGCAGCCAGATCCCATGGGAGTGACAGCCCCGTGCCTGCTGCCCCCACAGAGGTGCACCCAGGCGGCTGTGCTGTCGTGGCCCCGGGAGGTGGAGGTGGACGGTGCGGGAGAGGGACGCCTGAGTCTTCGTAGACCACACACCTGCAGCAACAACAGACTTTTAAATAAGGGGAGGCTGGTGATGGTGATGCCACTTAGCAAGATGAAGTCCTGATCTGGGGCCCAGCCCAAGGGCGTTGTGTGTAACCTTGCTGTCCCATGGTGGACTTAACTGCTGCTTCTGGAGGACTTTAGCAGGGAAAGCTCCTGCCCGACGGAGCTGATTCCGCACGTACCCTGGGCAGGGGGTGCACAGCTTGCTGCGTCAGAAGGGGCCCGGCAGCCTGCACCCGGGTGATGTCTCAGCTCACGTGACTGAGGGCTCCCACTGGCCCACCTGCCCGGAACGGAGGGCCCCCGTGGGGGCTCTGGTTCCCTGCACTAGAGCTGTGCTCCTGGACGGTCAAGCTCTGGCCACCAAGGCTCAAGTGGCTCCTCGTGGATGGAAGTGGCTCCAGCAGGGGCCGGTGCAGGCACCATCTACCCGGGACCCACTAACTCCCTGGGGTGCTTCAAGAAGGCCTAGACCCCCAGCACCTGTCTCAGTCTGCCTCCTGACTGCTGCTGCCTCCTAGAAAGCAATGCCCTCTGGACCTTGTGGTGAAGGGAAGGCAGCCTCGGGGAGGGAGGAGCTGCTCCCATGGCAGAGCGGTCCTGCGGATTTGCCTGTTGGCCCTTCCCGGCGTTCCCTCCAGGCTTCCTTCCCACCCGGCCTTCCTGAGGACAAGTTCCCGCCCGCCTGGCTTCTCACTCAGCTTTCTCAGCCCGGCTCGTGGGCACTAGGTTGAACTCAAGGGAATGTTGAGAAAGTTAAAAAAAAATAAAAGCTGACCCACCACGTAGAAAAGGGAATCAGTTTATCAAACATTGACAATTTCCAGTCCTCCAAGGACAGACTGTCCCTGTCTGCTGAGGGGCCCCGAGGAGAGGCAAGTGTGGCTGGGCGTCGGCCACTGAGGCGGCCCCAGCGGCTGCCCGCGCCCCGGAGGGGTTGCGCCCTCCCCAGTTTTCTCCAGTTTCACAACACTGTTGACTGGGGCAGGAGGGGGTCGGTCCTGCAGAATACAGCATGCTGGGGGCAGAGAGTCCTGTCCCAAGTCTGGCAGAGAGTCCCCAGCCCCCAGCGCAGGGGAGACGCATTCCCTGAAAATAACATGTGTTTCAGACACAGTCACTTGGTTGGTCACTGTTATCCAGAACCAAAAGGTGTCACAAAATACTTTTTGGCAGTCCGTCAGCAAAGGGGATCCTTTCCTTTGGGAGGACCTCACTTGACAGAGTCCCTAGGATGAGGCCTGAGGACGGAGCCGACACTGCAGACCCCACCCACGCCAGCCATGGAGCCCAAGGGCAGCGGCAGGGCTGAGAGAGGGGGTCAGCCCCTGCCCCGCAAGCCCATCACTAGGGCAGCTCCAGAAGGTTCCACAGGCGACTCAGGCCTTCCTGAGCAGGTGGCTTCGGGGCGGGGCCTCTCCTGGGGCCGGGGAAGCGCCTGGGGTTGGCCAGACCTCGTCTTTCCTGGGCACAGCCGAAGGCCCTGCCTCCTGAGGCCATTTTGGAGGCGCAGGAAGGAGAGGGGCGGCGGCTCTGGTCTCTGCAGCGCAGGCTGCGGGTTTGGCCGGGCGGGGCCCTCAGTGGATCTCCGCCTCCGCGAACTCCTCTTTGATGGGCTGCTTGCGGGCCTTGCAGTCGGGCAGGTCGAAGCCGAAGTCTGCCCACTCGTCAGGGCCGCCCGGGCCACCACGGTTGGGGATGGTGATGGTGTGGCGCACGCGGAAGTGCACGGCCTCCATGACCCGCTGGCGCTGCAGCTCCCCGGAGCTGCCGATGGAGATGGTGGCCGCGTTGCTGGAGCGGAGCAGCTGCTGCGCAGCGCCGTAGTCGTGGCCCTGCTTCAGGTCCTGCAGGCCCCGCCAGATGGTCATGCGGTACTGCTCGGGGATCTTCAGGGCCCCCAGGTCCTGCGAGAGGCTGACGCGTTAGGGGCAGGGGCAGCGGGGGCAGGGAGAGCAGGGAGGGGGCCGCCGCCCTGGGCTTGGTGGTCTAGCCACACCACACCCTGGCCCCCACACCCCCAACCAGAGTGGGCAGGAGAGGGGACATGGTGGAGGGAGAGAGGCCTCCAAGGCCACTCCTTGCCTGTGTGGGGCCTGGGCCTTGACCTCAGGGCTTTAGACATGGAGCCCCTGGGCATCCTCCTGGCCCTGGGGGATGATGACCTGCCTCCCAGCCTCTGGCCAGAGCCCTCTGTGGTCTCCATGTCCCTGACCCCCAGCTCATCCCTGAGCTTCCAACACCCTGTGGGCACCACAGCAAGCAGGCACATCATGCAGAGGAGGCAAAGGTTAACACGTGACGTGGAGCTGGCTCAGCGTAGGTCACTGGGGACAGGGTGCGGGAGGGGTTCGTCGACACAGATGCAGCCAGCCCCTGCCTGAAGGACAGTTAGGCTGAGCAGCTGGCCCCAGCTCAGACTGACAAACTCTCATCTCTGTCTGCGGCCCCAGGCTGGGGATGGTCTGGGACGGGCCTTGGACCTAGGCCGCACCACTGGCTGGGGGTGGGTTCCCAGAGGGGGCTTATTCTTGCCCTGTGGCTCCCACGGTCCTAGACTCCGAGCAAGCCTTTGTACACCACGAGTCTCATTTAACCCAAAGGCAAGCCGTGGCTGTGGGATCAGCTGTCACAGGTGTCAAGAGCTGTGTGGCCTCGGGCCGGCCGCTTGCCTTCCCTGGGTCCCTTTTCCTTCCTCTGTAACTGACGCTGAGCTAGACTCTCTCTCGGGCCCCTACACTCTTTTGTCCTTTGCGCCTTGAAAACAGTCCACCCCTAAAATCAAAGGCACGCTGGCTGCTGGGAGTCTGAAAAGGCCAGAAGGACCATTTCAGCCTCGGACGCCTGGGTACGTGTCCCACCGCCAGCCGCGTGCCTGGCTGCACCTGCCTAAGCTCCGAGAGTCAAGTCCTCGCATCTGCTTGCCCGTGGGAAAGGGTTTCCAAGTTTCCCAGCCATGAGAGCCAAGGAGAGAAAGCTCTTTGCCCCCCAGACAGGGCCCCTCCAGCCACTGCCTGTGCGGGGTGGGGGCCCCCCCGGGTGCTTACCTCAATGGTCAGGTTTTGCAGGTGGTAAATGCTCTGCAACCCTTGGGAGGTGAAATACTCGATGCAGTTTGGACACCCCAATCCTGTTAAAAAACTGCAGGGAGAATTTGAGAAAGGAAGCAGCATCAGCTTCCCAGCACGCGGCTGTGCAAGACCCCTCTCTGGGATTGGCCTGGCTGGGGCGGAGACTGCCACTGTCTCCGAAGGGTGGCTCCAGCCCACCAGTGGCCATGGCTCCCTTGGGGAGGGGACGTGCTCAGTGGCGGTGGGGGGGGTTGGGGTGTCAGCGGAGGACCCTGGCTTTTTGTGCTTTTCCTCTAAGTGGCCCGTGGCCCTGGTGTCTGCTGAACACTCCTGGCCTGACTCCCCCGCCCGCCTGTCTGATCAGGGTTGCAAGTGCAAAGTCCACAGGGTGGGTGGGGCAGCCGACATAGCGGGAAGGACAGAAGTGAGAGGACAGGGTGACAGCACACACCCGGGGCCCTTGGCAGCCCACGCACCTGATGAGGCTGGGGTCGGCGTGGTAGGGGGGTGGCGGAGTGCAGTGGGGCCCCGAGACCATGGCCTGGGCGCCGTGGCCGCTGCTCATCTCACCGTTGGCCGGTGCGGTGTGGCTGTGATTGTTGAGCATCCCGGGGCCTGGGTGAGAGGCGGTGGGGGGCGTCAGGGCAGCTGGGCCGGGCGTCCAGGTGCAGGCTCCACCCAGGATCCTGACACCTTAGACACCAGGGAGCCACCCCAAGGCCTGACGATGTGATGCTTGGCATCACCCCAGCCAGCTGGAGGCCCGAGGAAGGACTGAGCTCTGGGGCCTTGTCTCCTAGCCCTGTCTAGTAGGGACGGGGTGACCTAGTAGGCACTGGGTCCTAACGGCAATCACAGCTGGCACTGCAGGCTGGCCACACCCCAGGGCCTCAGGACACACCTGGGGGGAGCTTGCTGTCAGCACTGGGAATGTGCCTCGCCCTGCCCACATGAGGACCTTCCAGGGGAAGGGGCCCAACCCTATCCTGGGGAGCTCCCGGCTGGCTTGTGCTGGGGCCCCTGATGATCTATTGTACCATTTAATCCTCACAAGGAGTGAGCCTTCTGTGGTACTTCTGTGGCCATTTACTGATGGGGAAACTGAGGCTGTGTAATGTTAAGAACCTTCCCCAAGCTCCCCACCAAGAGGCGGTGCAAGCATGTGGGTTCCATGCTCTTAACCATGCCCCGCTCCGCCTCCCACAGCCAGGAGTGGGCACAGCGGGCTGCCTGTGGCTGGGCCTCCCTCCCACAGGGTGAAGCCGCTGGAGGGAGCCAGCCGCAGAGAGATCCTCGGCTGGTCCCGAGCTGGGTGGAATGCCCTGAGCCAGGCCCTCCCATTGGGCCTCCCCCTGCTGCCTGTGGGCCCCCACTGCCCGAGGGACTCACCCACAGGCCCCAGATTGGGTGCTGCGGCCGAGCTGTGCGGGGGAGGCTGGCCCACCAGCTGGTTGACAGAGGGCAGCTTGTTCATGCCCCCGTGCACCTTGTTCATGGGCGAGAGGACCGGCCCATAGGACGGGGGCTGCAGGTGGCTCCTGCTCAGAAGCAATGGCTGGCATGGGTAGGAAGCAAGGCAGCCTTGTGCCCGCCAGCCACCCACGTCCGTGATGTCCCCATGCTGCCGACCCGTGGAGGCTCTGATGTCAGAGAGTGGCTTCCTCCTCCCCAGCCTCCCAGTGCCCGACCATGGCCATGCACGGGCACTGGGCCTGCTCCTGAGAAGGGCACTGGCTATGGCGAGTCTGGGGGTGGGAATGACCTGTGCCCCTGGAATCTGCCTGGTCTTGGTGGGTCATGGTCACTCTGTCCGCCCCTCCCAGCCTTTCCACTCAGCAGACATTTACAAGGCCTCTCAGTGGCAGAGGCATAGCACAGGCTGTGACCCAGGGTCCCAGGGCAGCTCCAAGTCCCAGAAGGCTTCCTGGAGGAGGAGATGTGAGGTGGGCCCCCTGAGCTCTGAGTCCTGCAGCCTGTCTTTGGCAGATGATGCCTTCTGGAGGGGTTTCTGGTCCTCCTGGCCGCCTCCTGTGGGGTTGAGCCGTGCCCTCCTTCCCCACCCCCACGGTGGGCTGGGTGGACTCACGGCCTCTGGAGGAGCTGCTGCTGCTGCCGATAGGAGTCCACCAGCGGCTGCGGCACCAGCTCCATCAGCTCCAGGCTCTCCTTCAGCTTCATCAGGATCTCGAAGTTCTCACGGCCTCGCACCTGAGCACAGAGGAGCAGAGGCTCTGACCACGTGCCCCAGACCCCGTGGGAGGGGGCAGGACACAGCCTCAGGAGGATTGGGGCTTGGCAAAGCATCTGTCTTTTCTAGGGGTTCCCCCACACCCCAGAGGCTCAGGATCCCCTGACCTTCTTTCCTCTTCCCAAGAAGCAGGCCTAACCAGAGCTCCTGACTCTGCTGTCCCCAAGAACCACGCCTGCTCCTCCTGGCCCCCAAGCCCTGCTCCCTCTTCCTCCGACATCAACAGATACTGGGTTTTATTTATTTATTTTTTAAACAAATGGCTTTTTCTTTTCTTTTCTTTCTTTTTCTTTTTCTTTTTTTCTTTGAGACAGGGTCTTGCTCGGTTGCCCATCATAGCTCACTGCAGCCTTGGACTCCGGGGCTCAGGTGATTCTCCTGCCTCAGCCTCTGGGTAGCTGGGACCATAGGTGCACACCATCTTGCCCAGCTAATTTCTGTAGAGACAGAGTCTTGCTATGTTTCCCACTTTGGTCTCCAACTTCTGGGCTCACATGATCCTCCTGCCTTGGCCTCCTAAAATGCTAGGATTACAGGCATGACCACTGCCCCCAACTGGGGCTGACTTTGGAGCTCAAAAAACTGAAAGTTCACATCATGAAGATGAATCCCATTCAAGCCTGTGCCGATTTAATTCACCTGTTGGAGGCCACATGTGAGAGGCACGCTCACTGGGGCCACAGCCACGGGTCTTGGCCAACGTTAGGGTCCTGGACTCTTGCTGACTGTTCACCCTCGTGGGACACTGTACCACCCACCTGCGCTGTGTACACAAGGCTTCACTGTCAACTGCATGACACTGGGTTTTTGTGACTGAGGGGACTCTCAGGGACGCGCTGGAACTGGGCCCTGCTGATTTGTCTCTTGCAAGCAGGTTCTGCCCCCTTAATCCTCCCAAGCAGGGCTGGGCATCTCTCGCCCCCTCCGTCCAGGTCTCCAGGGCCCCTCCCTATGGCCCAGCCTGGGCTCAGCAGATGACAGAGGTGAGGCAGGTCTCCTGACCGCCATGCAGGAGCACATGCTCACATGCAGGAGTATATATGTGCAGGAGCACTCATGCACAGAAGCACTCACTCACACGCAGGAGCACTCACTCACACACAGGAGCACTCACATGCAGGAGCACTCATGTAGGAGCACTCATGTGCAGAAGCACTCATGCCCAGGAGTGCTCATGTGCAGGAGCACACACATACAGGAGCGCACACTCACGCCCAGGAGCACACACTCCCAGGAGCGCAGGAGTGCACACTTACATCTAGGAGCGCACAGTCATGTGCAGGAGCACACTCACGCGCAGGAGCACAGACTCACGCGCAGGAGCACACTCACGTGCAGGAGGACACTCACGCTCAGGAGCACACTCACGTGCAGGAGCACACTCACGCTCAGGAGCACAGTCACGCTCAGGAGCACACTCACGCGCAGGAGCACACTCACGCGCAGGAGCACAGACTCACGTGCAGGTAGTACGTGTCCTCGTCTCCATGCCGCCGCTTCTTCACGCTGGCACCCAGGGCGGGGACGGCAGGGGGGCTCTGCTTGAAGGCTGGAAGGCCAGGCAGGGGAGCGGGGTGAGCAGGCAGGACCAGAGGCTGAGGCCTCCCTCCGGGAGGAGGGAGACCTGCCCCTCCTTGGGGCCAATCAACCCTCCAGGTGGTTGCAGCCGGGGGACAGGTCCGGTGGTGGGCAATCCACAGAGATGGGCAAACCAGGCGTGCCACTGGGCCTCTGAGGTGCCCTCAGCCCTTGGCCCAGGATGACAGGCTTCTTCGGGGGCTGCTCTCAGGCCCCGTCAGGGAGGCATCCGGGCCTGGGGGGCCATTCAGGGGCTGGCCTTGCCCCCGGGATGCCAGCTTGCACTGTGTCCTGCCAGCGTGCCCCTTCTCTTCCCCACACGCGTCCGGTTCCACCCAGCCCGGCCGGCCCGCCGCTCACCACGCTTGCTGGCGGCCCCATTCTTGGCGGTGCTCTCGTTCAGGGCCTGCTGCTCCCGGTAGTGATCCTCGTCCGCTTTCCGGTCGCGGCCAGGACAGGCGCAGATGCGGCCCTCAAAGGACCGGCGGCCCAGCACCTGCCCACTGTTGGGTGTGCACAGCCAGAAGTGTGAGCTCAACCCTGCCCACACTTCACACTCAACCTGCCCACCCTCTTTGCCCACTTCGGACCCTGCAGGACCGGCCTTGAGAGCCCTCAGAGTCACTGCAGAGCACCCAGTGCAGGCATCAAGTGTTCCTGCCAGAGGCTCAAAGCTGCAAGGCTGCTCTGAGACCTCGACCGAGACTGCCGCCTCCCTCGGGAGGCCCAGCTCCTGCCCAGGCAGCCCCTGCAGGCCAGGGGGTGGTCCCTCGCTCCAGCCGCAAAGCCCAAAGCCTCTTCCCCCAGCTGGCCTTGGCCTGCACATCTCCATGGCAGCTTCTGCTCTCCTCCATCAGTGCCTGCCCAGCCCTGCCCCTCCTTCACCCCATGTGCCCAGGACTCACTCCCGTGTCTCCAGGGTGATGATGATGAGGATAGGCCGCCGGTTCATGCCCCCCACACAGCTGCTGTTGCACATGAAGTTGTACAGGATGGTGGTGAATTCTGTCCCCACCTGCACACCGGGGAGCAGGGAGAGGGGCTGGCATCAGCACGCAGCCCTGGTCCACGCAGGTGGCAGTCCCCAGCTCCACGTTTGGCCCTGGCTCCAGGTAGGTAGGGGAATGCCCTGCTCTGTGGTTTTTTGCTATCTGTCTATCTGTCTACTTATCCATCCATCCACCCACCCACCCCATCCATCCATTCATCCAACCATCCACCCATCCATCCATTTATCCACCAATCCCATCCATTCATCCACCCCATCCATCTGTTTATCCACCCATCCATCCATTCATCCATCCACACATCCATCCATCCATCCATCCATCCATGCATCCACACATCCATCCATCCATCCATCCATCCATCCATGCATCCACACATCCATCCATCCATCCATCCATCCATCCATCCATCCACACATCCATCCATCCACCCATCCATCCATGCATCCATCCACACATCCATCCATCCATCCATCCACACATCCATCCACACATCCATCCATCCACCCATCCATCCATCCATCCACCCATCCATCCATCCACCCATCCACTCATCCATCCATCCATCCACCCATCCATCCACCAACCCCATCCATTCACCTACTCCACTCAGCCATCCATCCATCCACCCACCCATCCATTCAATATCAATCTATCCATCCACCCACCCACCCCATCCATCCATCTAACCACCCACCCCACCCCATCCACCCACCCATTCATTCACCCACGCACCCACCTCACCCATCCATCCATCCACCCCCAACCCCATTCATCTGTCCATTCGTCCACCCACACATCCATCCACCCACCCACTCACCCCATTTATCCATCTACTCATCCACCCACCTACCTACCCATCCATCCATCCACCCCACCCACCCCCATCCATCCACCCATTCACCCATCCACCCACCCACCCCATTCACCCATCCATTCATGAAAATCACTGAACAGCAATCACTGAGGTGGCTCTGGGATCTGGGAGTGCTTAGACCTGGTCTCTGCTCTCAGAGCAGCACAGAGTCCTGTGGTCCGCTAGTTCCAGCCTTCTCCCCGACACAGGCTGGAGGCCAATCACAGATGCTGGGTGTGAGTGTGAGTGTGTGCACAGGTTTTGTGGGCCTATGTGTGTGTTGGACGCTGTGGGCTTATCTGGGCACAAGAGTGCGGTGTTGCTCTGGCAGAGAGAAGGACCAGAGCTGTCCTCAGCGGACCCATCCCCAGCACACTCCCATTTCCCAGGGAGTTTGCAGTACAGTGGAGACATGAAGCAAAGCTCTTTTTTTTTTTTTTTTTTTTTTTGAGATGACGTCCCTCTCTGCTGCCCAGGCTGGAGTGCAGTGGCAACCTCTGCCTTCCAGGTTCAAGCGATTCTCCTGCCTCAGCTTCCCAAGTAGCTGGGATTACAGGCATATGCCACCACGCCCACCTAACTTCTGTATTTTTAGTAGAGATGGGGTTTTGCCACGTGGGCCAGGCTGGTCTCGAACTCCTGACCTCACGTGATCTGCCCGCCTCGGCCTCCCAAAGTGCTGGGATTACAGGCGTGAGCCACTGCGCCCAGCGTGAACCAAAACTCTTGATCAGTGTGTGTCCCAGACCACAATGTGGGCAGTTTTCATGTCACCCTGGGGACAAATACAAAAGCCATTCCGGATTTGGGACGATCTTGGCCTTTCTCAGAACTGCCGTCACATAGCAGCCACCAGGGGGCGAGAGAGCGCTGCCTTCCTGGCAGGCGGGGCAGGTAAGGGTGGGAGGAGGGTTGCAGGGAGCCCTTCCCTGCCTTGGTTCTGCTGGCATGAAGGGCCGCTCTTACAGGAGGTGAGATGGGGCCTGGAAGGGGCCAGGGTACCGGGTAGAGGATTGTGGAGGACCTGGAGACTGGGTACAGGAACAGGGGCCTGGGGTGTCTTGGGGGCCCGGTACAGCGATGGGGACCTGGCGGGGGAGGCTGGGGCTGCGTACAGCATGGAACTTGGTCTCAGAACCAGCTCCAGGGGAGGTGGAGGCCTGCCATTGCCTGCCCTCCCCTGGGGGCCTGGTACTCACTCCTCACCTCCTGTCCTGCCCCACCCCACCCTGCCGCAGCAACTTCAAACCTTCTGCTCCCCCTACCACAGCCGGGCCCCACATCAGCTCCAGAATGGTTTCCCCCATCCCAGAAACTTCTGCTGCCTTTGGGTCAAAGGTCAGAACCCCCCCCAGCCCCTCTGCGTCTCCTCCCCTCCTGCTTGCATGCCCCCCAGTCCCCTGCACCCCCTACTCACATGATACCCAGCCAGGCCTCCCGGCTCTCCAGCCTACTGACGGCTCAGCCTCCTGCAGGCCGCCTCTCCCAGGCCCCTGGCCTGGCCTGGCCTAGGGGTTTTTCCACCATCCCTCAATCCCCTTCATAGAATTTGCCGCCCCTATGGGCGCTGTGGGTGGTTTGGTTCTGTCCCAGCCAATCCAGGGTCTAAATGGGGGAGGATCTCCCCATCTCCTGCATCCTTATGTCCCAGAGGCCGAGGCCGGAACCAGTGTTGGGCACCAACAGAGGGCAGAGCTGAAGAAGACCCACTCCCCACTATGGAGCTGGGCACACTCAGGCCCCGAGAGGGCCCGAGGCACATGACGGCCAGAACGGCAGTGCACACAGTGGGGCCTGTGTGGGCGGAGCAGGGAGCCCTGCCTCCAGGATAGGCAGATCAGCAACTGAGGAGGGACAGGGGCTGCCTTGGGGGACCCCCACCCCGTAGGGCTGACTGCAGGGCCCCGGGCCGAGCCTGGCTCCTGGCTTACCTGTGGTGGCTCATAGGGCACCACGACGCTCTGCCTGCCGGTGACAGGGTCGTCCACATACTGTGAGAGATTATTGCCTTCCACACGGATGAGGTGGCTGGCTGGGGCAGACTGTCCTGCCGGGAGGGGTCGCCACTTCAGACAGGTGCACAGAGGCGCCCAGCCCCGTGCCAGGCACAGAGAATTGCCCACCCTATACCAGGTGCACAGGTGCCCAGCCCCATGCTGGGGTCACAGAGGTGTCCAGCTGTCAGGTGCAGAGAGGTGCCCACCCCTGTCAGATGCAGAGAGGTGCCCAGCCCTATGCCAGGTACAGAGGTGTCCCCCTGTGCGAGGTGCAGAGAGGTGCCCAGTTTCATGTTAGATGCAGAGAGGTGCCCACCCCAGTGCCAAGTGCAGAGAGGTGCCCACCCTTGTCAGGTGCAGAGAGGTGCCCAGCCCTATGCCAGGTATAGAGGTGTCCCCCTGTGCCAGGTGCAGAGAGGTGCCCAGTTTCACGTTAGGTGCAGAGAGGTGCCCACCCCAGTGCCAGGTGCATCACAGCAGAACTGAGACCACCAGGCCCAGTCCTGTGGGCTTCCAGGTGAGGCTCAGGCCAGCTAGCAGCCCTCATGCCCTGGGGGTGCCTGCCCAGTGGCTCTGTTCCTGATCTCCTGCTAACCCCTGGGGTGGCCTGTAGGCTTCCCCAGGCACACTGGAGAGAAGGGCTATGCCACATAGGATCTCTGAGTCCCCAGAAGGCTGCTGCCCCTCAGACTCTGCCCAGACCACCTTCCCCTGCCCAGGAGCATGCCCCCCCCAGGCCCCAGTCAGAACTGGGAAAATGGGGGCTGAGGAGGCACTGAAAGCCCTCCCCAGGGAGTAGCTAAGCCCATGCCATCCGCCCCAGTCTCTCCCAGTTAGGCAGCCCCTGGCTGTGGGGTCCAGGATGCCGGGCAAAGTGCCACCGTGGGCTGAGGTGCTGGGGGCGCTCACCTTCATTGAAGTCCCTCCCGAGCTCGTGGTTGGGGCAGCGCTTCACAATGTCGGTTACGTGCTCCGCCTTCTTGTAGACGGGCATGGCCCGGATGGCGGTGCCCGGGGGCGGTGGGGTGGACACCTTGATCTGGATGGGGCACGTCTTGGCAATTTGGCAGTACAGTTTCTTCAACAGCGGGGAGTACTGGGGGGGAGGAAGCAGGTGAGGCCGGCGCTCCCCAATGCACACCCGTCTGGGCCATCCCCCATTGGGAGCCCCGTCCTCCCCAGGGGAGCCCCTTCCACAAGCCCCAGGTGAGGACTGCCTGAGCACCCCCTCTGTGGAATCCCTCCAGGCGTGAAACCAGGCCCAGCTGCCCCGGAACCCACTCCGCAGCCATCGGTGATTTGGGCTCCGTGACAGCAGGGTGTGAGTGCTGGTGGCAGCCAGGCAGAGAGGCTTTAGGTTTATGGATGGGGACAGGAAAGGCCAGGAGAGCAAGAAGGGGCTGCTGGAGAGGGGGCAGGAAGGGGACTGGGAGCCAGGCCTGCGGAGTGACGCCCCCGACCGCAGTGTTGGAAGAGGTGGGTTTGCAGCGTCAGATCTGTTTTTAAAAGACCAGAGCTGGGCTTCTCCAGCATCCGCAAAGAGCCAGTGGACAGTGTGTGACGGGCTGGGTGCCCCTGTACGTCGCAGCTTCCACAGAGCTCTGGGTTGGTGTGAAGGCCTCTCACGCCTCAGCAGCCCTGGTGACTCTCATGCGCTCTCTTGCTGGGGCCACCAAGTCTGAGCAGCCGAGCCGTGCGGCTTTGTCTGGCTACACTGGGGGTCCCTCTGGGCTCACAGCCCCAACATCCCCAGCCTGGGACTCGAGGAGCTGAGAGGTCTGTCTGGGGCCAGAGTGGCCCCTATGAGGGAGGACTGGATGACACCCTGATCCAGCTCCTGCAGAGGCCTCCAGCATCCTCACCCCACAGGGCCGTGCCCCACAGGACCCAGGCGGGCTCTCACGAATTCTAAAAGTGACCCCGCTGAGGCCACTGCACGGGTGTCCACTTGTTTCCAAGCTGGCTGATTCCCCGTGTCTGGCTGCTGTGAGTCCTCATGCCCCTCCCCACAGGGACGTCAGGAATGAGTCCCAGGCTCAGATTCAGAGAGTGACTTCTGCCCCCACCCCATGCCCTCTGAGCCCCTTACCAGCCCCAATGACTCAGAATCACAAGTCACTGCAGCCACAAGTGCCCTGGAGAATGTCCGATCGCCCTCCACCATGGAACAGTTGGGGAAACTGAGGCCAGAAGAGGAAGCTACTGGCAGAACCAGGGAAGTGGCAAGTGGAGCCTTCCCTTTGTCACCCCCACTGGCCACCAGCCCTACCTCTCTGGCCATCAAGGGACATGAGGGGCTCTCAGGAGCCACGTAGGTCCTTCACAGGTAGGTGCAGGCACAGGAAAAACAAGGAAAAAGGAGGAAAGAGACAGGGGAGGTGGAGCTGACAGAGCCTGTGAGCCATGGTGGGTGGAGCCTGGGTCCCCAGCACCCTCAGCGCCCCGGCCCTGCACAGAAGGAGCCATCCCCTCTCTGATGAGTAAATGGGACTTTCCAAATCAGACCCAGCCAGGAACGCTGACCTGTCCCTGCCATGGGTGTGAGGGGACTGGAGGGACAAGTGGAAGGGGGTCTTCCAGTGGCCTCCTGGGGATGGGTGGTTATCCAAAGGGCGGGCCCCTCCTAGGTCCTCCCTCCATCTGGAGCCCCTGGAGCCAGGGCGGCACCACTGCCGCTGCCTGCACCCCCGACCTTGGGCACCAGGTCTCAGGCAGGAAGCGGCTCACCCCCAGACCTGACAGGAAGGAACCATCATGCACAGCCCAGCAGGTGGCACTGGGCGCTGTTTAGAAAAGCAGGAAACAGGCCGGAGGCCAAGGCAGGCAGATCACCTGAGGTCAGGGGTTCAAGACCAGCCTGGCCAACATGGTGAACCCCTGTCTGTACTAAAAATACAAATATTAGTCAGGTGAGGTGGTAGGCGCCTGTAGTCCCATTTACTGGGGAAGCTGAGGCAGACTAGCTTGAACCTGGGAGGTGGAGGTCGCAGTCAGCCGAGATGGCGCCACTGCACTCCAGCCTGGGTGACAGAGAGAGAGAGAGAGACGAAGAAAGGAAAGAAAGAAAGAAAAGCAGAAAGAGTCTTGCAGAAAAGAAAGGAAAGAAAAACAGAAAACAGCCTTGCAGAGCCGGCAACCCTCAGCCCTGTGTGGGCGCCGGCCCTGGGCCGTGGGAACTGCAGGCTTGGCCATGGCGGGAAGGACGGCAGTGCCCTTGTTGTGGGTTCAGTCTGGCTTCCCTGGGGGTAACTGCTGACGTACAGTGTTCCCACCATTACGAATGCCCCCTTCGCTCCCCGCAGCATTGCTTGGGAGGATAAACAGGTAGTCCTGCCCCTAGGACACATGGGAACAGCTCACAGCTCAGACCCTCTGAGACTCAGAACCTCAGGAGACTCAGAGGAGGCCCTTGGTCTGGCCTTGGAGTGGCCTGTGTCCAGGCACTGGTCTCTTGGACAAAGGCCTTGCCTGAAGCCACACACCGCAGTGTGGTCTCCATCTGTGTGGGTTGGGGACAGAAGGAGGAGGGGTCAGGTGGTGGCAGGTGTCTCCCAGTGCCCTGAGCTGGGGAGAGGAACACAGGGCCAGCAGCTGTGTTGCCAGGCTTCTCCGAGGCCAGGACAGCTTGCAGGGTAAGCTTCCCATTGCTGAGCATTTATGGGGCACCTCTTATATGCAGAGCACACAGGCCCCCAGGAATTCAGGCACCTGGCTCTGTCTCCTTCATCTTTCCTCAGTAACGTGCAGCAGCTAGAGGTGTGCAGCTGGTACTCAATAAATGCCATCCATCCTCAGCAGTTCCCTAGGGAAGCCACACGGCAGGGAAGAGACAGCAGATCCCCTGTGAAACAGACCGGGGCCAGGGTGGCTCAGGTCAGAGTCTCAGGGGCAGCAAAAGGAGAAGGGCCTCTGAGGTCCAGCCACGTGGGTCTCAGTTCTGGCTCTGTGCTCACCAGCTGGGACACCTCGAGCCGCTGCACAAGCCTCTCCACCTGCGTCTGTGACTCATTGCGTATCCCCTGGGAACACAGTGGCCTGCAGGTGTCAGTGGCTACTGTGCCCTCATCATTCTCCAAACTAGGTGAGGAGGTGTTGGTTGCAGGGGGCTAGACCCACATAGGTGGGCTCCCCTGCAGCTCCCTTTCTGGGCTGAGCCCCCCGAGGCTCCATCCACCCTCGTGCCCCAGCCCATGGCCTGAGATGGGGGTCAGTAGATCCACCAAGGGGGGCCCCAGGCACTTGGGGGGAGGGGAGGCTGCCTGGGTTTCTCAGCTGGTTGGACACAGATAGAGTTGGGTGCAGCCAAGCCTGCAGGCAGAGGTCCCGGCAACCCTCGCTCCCTGACAGCACCATGGAGTCTCAACAGTGTGAGGGGTTTCACAGCCCCTGCTGCCTGGCCCCTGCGCCCTTCCCTAGGGCCCTGCCCCAGCCCCCTGGCCACAGTCCTCCACGGAGCCTCAGCTCCCAGCCACCCGGGCCTCAGGGTCAGCCGAACTCCCATTTCGCAGACAGGCAAACCTAGGCAGCGGCCTCTTGGCAGCACCCTGCTGAGCCCGCCTGGCTCCCTCTGGAGCCCCAGGCAAGGTGAAGTGGTGATCCCTGCTCTGGAAGCTGTGTGGTGAGGCGTCCCAGGGCCGGGGCGCACGAAGTGGGTGCAGGGCCCAACGTGTGCTCCCATCTGTACTGCTCGGGCCTTGCGCGAGGTCCCGGGGCCCAGGCTCAGGGAGCACTGTGGACGCCCCGCCCTGGGGAGGAGCTCAGCCACGCTGGGAGCTGTCCCTGGTACCTGCTGCAGGCAGCAGCTGCCGGACCACCCACCCCGGGAGCAGGGGCTGGGACTGGAGTGTGGAGAGGCCTAGGGTGGGCAGGTCTCAGCTTGGGCCAGTGGCGGAGGGATGCCAGGCCTCAGGGCGGACAGCAAGGAGGCCCCTGCCCTCAGGTGACGCTAGCACCTCTCCTCCCCTCTGGCCAGCAAGGCCACCAAGGCCCTGGGCCTGGTTCTCCCCACAGGGGTGTCCCTAGTGCAGTGCTCACATGGCTTTCGGAGCACACAAGCCTGCAGACCCCACCCTGTCACTAACAGGACCCCAGGTGCCCAGCCTGGCTGGAGCTGGGTGGCCTCAGGGAGGGATGTCTGTGATGTCCCCTGCCCTGTCAGCATCTGAGGCTGGGTGACACAGGTGGCCATAGGAGCCGAGGGAGCCCTGAGATATCCAGGTGCTTCCAGAGAGCGGCGGAGCCCAGGATGGCATGGGCACTCCCTAGCCCCTTCCTCCTGCCTCCCCAGCAGTGCCCCCCCCCACGCCCCCGGGCTCGGGCTCCAGACTTTGGCTCCGCCCTGTGGAAAATGGGCAGGAGGAGGACTCCGGAGTCTATTCTATAGGAAAGGTCACGTGGAGATGCTTCCTCTCCGCCACCCCTCCTGCCTCCTCCTTCCCTAGAACCGCTAGATGGATGTGTTTCAACAGATTCCGAGCTGATAAAATCGTATTTATCTTCGGCTGTTGACACGGAGCCGCCTGGACTTGCCTGCCTGGGGTGCGTGCGCCATCCTGCTTGCAGGAAAGGGTTTGCCCAAACGCCACTGCGCCTGTCCCTCCCCACGCTGCCAGCTCCGCTCCGACCCTCTGCTCCTTCCCCTCCTCCCCCGCCCCAGTCCAACATGGGCCCGGCCTGGCTGGGAGCCCTGGGCCTGGCAGGGCTTGTGCGGGGGTGGGCGAGGGGCGGGAGCGGCGCGGGGTTGTTAATTTCCTCGTGCCCGCTCCTCACTCCCCGGCAGCTGGGTGCCCGGCACGGGCAGGTTTGGGCAGGAGGACAGCGGAGAGGTGATAATAACTTGTCTGTCATTTTCCCGGGACGTGTAGCATCTTGCAAACCGCAAATACCGTTAACCAGCGTGGGTGAATCTGTTGCAACAGATTCTGGAAGATGGGGCCTGCAGTGGGGGCTTTTATTTTTTAAATGATTTTTTTATGGCCCACTTTTATCCACTTTCCATGCGTGTGTGTGTGTGTGTGTGTGTGTTTCTAAGGCCATGTCTCTTTCCTCTCTGGGCTTATGGGCCTCTTGGAGCCCACCCTCTGCCAAGGCCATGGT